ATATATATACTTTTTTTTTTGAGACAGAGTCTCATTATGTTGCCCTTAGTAGAGTTCTGTGGAGTCACAGCTTACTGCAACCTCTAACTCTTGGGCTTAAGCGATCCTCTTGCCTTAGCCTCCCAAGTAGCTGGGACTACAGGTGCCCACAACGACACCTGGCTATTTTTGTAGCTATTGTCATTGTTATTTATCTGGCCTGGGACAGGTTTGAACCTGCCAGCCTCCGTGTAAGAAACCACTATGCTACGGGCCCCAAGCCTTTTTCCTGCTACATTAAATTTATTAGGATCATCCATCTTTTTCATGAAAGAAAGCAAACATTGTGGTTAACAAATTAGGGCAGTATATGTTCAGATTCTAAGTACTTTTTCATTTAAAGAAAAACTGTTGGTTCGGTGCCTGTGGCTCAAGTGGCTAAGGCGCCAGCCACATACACTAAAGTGGCGGGTTTGAATCCAGCCTGGGCCTGCCAAAAACAACGACGGCAGCAACCAAAAAATAGCCAGGCGTTGCAGCGGGCGCTTGTGGTCCCAGCTACTTGGGAGGCTGAGGCAGGAGACTCGCCTGAGCCCAAGAGTTGGAGGTTGTTGTGAGCTGTGATGCCACAGCACTCTACCCAGGGGGACAGCGTGAGGCTCTGTCTCAAAAACAAACAAACAAACAAACAAACAAACAAAAAAACCGTTTCCAGGCAGTGCCTGTGGCTCAGGGAGTAGGGCACAAGCTCCATATACCGAGGTTTGAACCCGGCCCCAACCAAATTGCAACAAAAAAAATAGCCAGGCATTGTAGGGGGCGCCTATAGTCCTAGCTACTCGGGAGATTGAGGCAAGACAATCACCTAAGCCCAAGAGCTGGAGGTTGCTGTGAGCTGTGATGCTATGTACTCTACTGAGGGCCACAAGGTGAGACTCTTTTTTTTTTTTTTAAGAGACAAAGAAGAAAAACTGTTTCCTCCATCAGTGGTTCTCAAACTTTAACATGCATCAGAATTACTTGGAAGCATTATTAAAGCATTAATTGCTAGGTTTCACCTCTCCAGTTTTGCATTCAATAGATCTAGGGTAGGGCCCAGATTTTGCCCCAGGTGATTTATGCTGCTAGAGTAGAGGCTGTACTTTGAGAACTACTAATTTAGACAATGAATATGTTTTTCACCCCCCCACTCCCTTTCTTTATTCTTTGATTTCTCTTCAAACTTTTAATATCTCTTCCTTCAGAGTATATCTGATCCTCACAGATATTCATCTACATTGATTGCCTTTAAAGTTTAAAAAAATCAGTGATATTTGACATAGAAATGCTATAAATTGTAGGCGAGACCTAAGAGGGAAAATAAAGTCTCTTATTTCTCACCTGCACATCTTCACTATTGTTAATTTTGCCAAACCCTCATCCACACTGGCACCTTTTACTGTAGATATCAGTAGGACATCAGGCATTCTGTTCTTCATTCAAAGCCCCGCCTCTATGGTTAACCTTTCCCAGCAGCCAGTGATTTCTCTAGCATTAGGACTCCTATCACAGTTATTGTCTACATTTCTCCTCATATTGAATATGTGCTACCTTGTACTATTGGGTCACTTATTCTAGTATGCATTTATGAATTTTATGTATTATGCATTTGCCTTCTCCTTTCTTGATGGGGAAACTCCTGGAGGGCATGTCTTGCATCCCTTGCTTTGCTGGTATCTCCTATGCTAAGCACCATGTTTTAAACCTAATTCACCTTCAAGTGTTTGATGCTGATGAAAGTAGCCACATGTAAAGACCAATAAAGCAATTACTTGTCTATATTTTGTGGGAACTGAGATAAATTTTGGGGGGTACTTAGAGAACTTTTACTAAAAAAAAAGAATCATAAGCCTGTGGCTCAAAGGAGTAGGGCCCTAGCCCAATATACCCAAGGTGGTGGGTTCAAACTCAGCCCTGGCCCAAAAACTGCCAAAAAAAAAAAAAAAAAAAATTAAAAAAAAGTCATACGCCTAGAAGGCCATCAACAACAACAACAAAAAAAGAAAAAAAAGAAAAAAGAAAATTCCATACGCAAACTAATAGCTGCAAAACTATAATTCAGGTTAAGTATTAGAGGTATTGACCACAGTTCTATTCTATGGAGCAAGGCAGTTTATAAGTGGTTGTGTATCTGTACTTGGCAATAATTTGCTTCTGTCTTCTGAAAATTAAACCGTTTTCTGTACTGATGGTGGGTTGTCGTCCTGCACCTCTTTCTTAGCTACCATAAGCCCTACAGGTGAAGGTACATACCCAAACTATCTGTTCCTTTAAGACTTTCTCGTGAAGTTTGCTCACTTTTATAGGATCACACTAAAACATCTCTGTATCTGTAGCCTGGCAATGGCACAACTGACATGTCATGTTTTTGACTGAATTCTGAGGGGGCCTTCTTATTGAAGACAGGAAATAATACTGTACTGGGCAGTGAAGTTGCCCAGAACACTTGCTGAGTAACTCAGTCTGACCAATAACCTAAGTTCCTTTGCTTAGTTTTGAATGGTTGATCAGATTAGATTTTGCTAACTCTCACGCCTTTATTAGGGGAGAACAGAGAGTACACAAAGATGTCACAAAACTTCTCGTGTGAACAAGCCCTTAAAGAACCTGGCCCACCCTTCAGCAGTGTAGAGGTATAAAATAGAAGCCCCCAAAACAACTGACAAAAACCCTGACACACCAGGGATAACTAGCGTTTCGACTGCAAATGGGCCTGCTTTCCCACTTTGAAGAAATGCAGCAAAAACTATTAGCAAGGCGGGTCTTGCCTTGTTTTAAATCTGACTTTTTGGTCTCAGTTCCAGCAACTAAGATCATGCTAGCTTTGTCCCTCCACTTGAACTTAGTTCTGCACAAGCTAGCCAGGATACTTACACGGAGTCCAACTTTTCAAAGCAGTAAGCCACAAAAGGTTAAGAAAAAAGTAAAGGCCGCTTTTGGTAAACGACTTGGCCCTTGGGCGTCACTACCTTTCCATACTCACCATGTACCCAGGTATTAAAAGCTAAACTACCTTCCAACTTCTTTGTTGCTAAGTGCTCAGCTCCTTCGACGACTCCATGGGTGGCCCTAAAAAGGACCTTTGGTATCGTAAAGCGCAAAGCCAAAACAGGCGTTTAGCCTCCGAAGCCGTACAGGGTGCGTCCCTGGCGCTTAAGAGCATACACCACGTCCATGGCAGTGACGGTCTTGCGTTTGGCGTGCTCAGTATAGGTGACTGCGTCCCGAATGACGTTCTCCAGGAACACCTTCAGCACACCCCGAGTCTCCTCATAAATGAGACCGGAGATCCGCTTGACACCTCCTCGCCTAGCAAGACGACGAATAGCTGGCTTGGTGATGCCCTGGATGTTGTCCCGCAACACCTTACGATGGCGCTTGGCGCCACCTTTGCCTAGCCCTTTTCCACCTTTGCCTCTACCAGACATGACTACATAGTCTGAAAAGACGTGTGATGCTGGCGGGAGCTGCTTCACCCCTGATATACACGAACAACGGACCAGATTGAAAACCGAAAGTGCGGCAGCGGCGGGAAGCATTCTAAGCTGTCCCCGCCCTTCCGACATTTCCTCATTTGGGTTTTCCTCTCCCCGCTCTATCCTCCGCAGTCCGTTTGACTTTTATCTTCCTTGTCTTTTCTTTTTTTCGATCGATGTATCATAGTCCCTGGGAGAATTCAGGTCCCAGCCTGAAGCTTCCAGCCTCTGCAGTGGTTTTCCGGATCTCCGCGTCTGCGGACCGGGAAGGCGCCACACTGAGGCTCAGGGAAGGTCCTCTGGTGGAAGTTAAAGGAGGGACAAATGGATGCCAGAGATGGAATGGAGAGAGCTCCAGCGCCAGATCTAATCCCGACTAGAGGGTTCCGAACCGTGGTTACAAAAACTGCGGAGAAGCAGTTCGGATAATTAGGCTGGTGCTACCGGGCGACGGCCAGAGCTGCGGCCGCTGGGGATATGTGTTGAGCGGGGTCGGGGAAAGCTCGCGGTTAACTCGAGTCCAGTCTCCATTTTGTTGTCGCGAGCTATGTTTCACCTCGCCCAGAAGAATCCAGTTCCCAGGAAAACTGGTCTTGGTATACTGCCAGACCTTCCCACGCATCCAGTCAGCGAAAGCTATGTTGGAAGAAAAGATGCAGTCGTCCCTCTGAACCTGGGGCTTGGGTTCCAGCACTCTCGGATACCAAACAATTACCAGGCAGCTCAAGTCCCTGATAGAAAACACGTGGCATTTGCACAGAGCGCTTGCACATCCTCCTTGTACTTTAAATCATCTCCAGGTTACTTATGACACTTAATACAATGTAAATAGTTGTTATACTATATTATTTTGTTTGTGTTATTTATTTTTTTTTCTGTAGACCTCTGTGGTCAACTTACTGGGTTTTTTGGTTTGTTTTGTGACAGCGCCTCAAGCTGTCACCCTGGGTAGAATACAGTGACATCACAGCTCACAGCAACCTCCAACTCCTGGGCTCAAGCGAGTCTCCTGCCTCCGCCTCCCAAGTAGCTGGGGTGACAGGCGCCGGCCACAACGCCCGGCTATTTTTTGGTTGCAGCCGTCATTGTTTTTCAGGCCAAGCACGGTGGCATTTTAGGAGGCTGAGGCAGGAGGATCGCTTGGGGGCAGGAGTTTGAGACTCGCCTGAACTACAAGCCACACCTATCTCTACAAGAAAATAGAAAAATTGGCTGTGGTTGCACGCACCTGTAGTCCCGGCTACTTTAGAGGCTGAGGCAGGAGGATTGCTTGAGCCCAGGAGTTGGAAGTTGTGAACCCGGGCCAAAGAGAAAGACTCAAAAGAGAAGCAAAAAAAAAAAAATTCCATGACCAGTTGGTTGAATCTTGCGAAATGTGGAACTCACAGATATAGAGGGTCAACCTTATCTAGAAGAATGAGGGCTATTCCGTACATCCGCTTTTACAGATCCTCTAAATTAGCCCTTGATTTTAGCCAGGATTTAGTGCCCGAACTGTCCCCTCCGAGGCTCCATGTGCAGCCAGCAAAATTTATTGAATTAGGTTTTGTAACAGGACAAACACCTACCTCTACTGGGGTCCGTTCTGTTAGTATGTTCATTACCTTATCAGGGCCTGGAATCCCCGAGAAAATGTTCTGGTTTCTGCATGAGAAAGGATTGGGAGTTTTTGGAAAAATGTTTATTATTATTATTATTAAACCCTGTGTTCCTGTTTCATCTCTCCTTCAGCTCTATCTTCTATGTGCTGTTGAATTCTGAATCTATATTCAGACTAAAAGGCTCCAGATATGTGGATCCACATGGTGTTTCTTCAATCATTTTCAAAGCTCAATCTCCCCCAATCAAAATGTAGCTGGGCACTGGCACCTGTAATACCAGCTAGTTGAGAGGCAGAAGTGGAAGGATTGCTTGAGGCTAGGAGTTAGAGACCAGCCTGGTCAACACAAGGAGACCCAGCATTTTAAAAAAGAAAAAGTTACGGCTCCGCGCCTGTAGCTCAAGTGGCTAAGGTGCCAGCCACATTCACCTAAGGTGGCGGGTTCGAATCCAGCCGGGGCCTGCCAAACAACAATGACGGCTGCAACCACAAAATAGCCAGGCGTTGTGGCAGGCGCCTGTGGTCTCAGCTACTTGGGAGGCTGAGGCAGGAGACTCGCTTGAGCCCAAGAGTTGGAGGTTGCTGTGAGCTGTGATGCCACAGCACTCTACCCAGGGGGACAGCGTGAGGCTCTGTCTCAAAAAAGAAAAAAAAGAAAAAGTTAAAACTTAAAATCTCCAATGTGTGACTTATTATCTCACTATAAAGCTGGTTCTGTAGTCTGCTCATTGAATGGTGCCACTGTGCATTACCACATCTACATGTCTAAACCAACTCCCTAGAATTCACAGTAGACACCTCACTCTCCCCGGCTGCTTCAGGGCAAAGAAACACACTTGCTCTTTTCTGATCCTTTAGCAACTCTTGTAGAATCTGTAACATTATTTCACATCTGCTTGCATCTTAGTACTCCCCCACCTGCCATGTTCCTCACTAACAGTGATTTTGCTTATTCTTTTTTTGTAAACCAACGTGTAGTTCAATGCCAGGATAAACTCAATGATTATTTATAAAATGAACAGTTTTTGCATCTGACTGAATTGTTTTTCATCTGATTGCTTTTAAACACTAGCAGGAAAGAAAGATCTGACAAAATTGTAACATAATAACCACCAGCCAAAGCTGACTGAAGTGATGATTTCTGGTGTCAGGTACAGGACCCCAGGTGGAATCAGAGACATAATGTCTATGCATGTTTCTTCTACAGAGGATCAGGATGTGCTACCCCCAAATATGTCACTTTTGCTTGTTTTGAGCTGAAAATGTTTGAGTTCTTGAAATCCCTTACTTTTCTAAAAGCAGAGCCTCCTAAAAGAACTCAAAATTTTAACTTAATTGTCATAAATTCCCTCCAGGATTAGAAGCAACTCTAATCTCAGAGATGAGAAGTCACCACAACATTCTAATAGGTGTCACAAAATGATCCAATCTCCTATTTATTCTCTTAAGGGCCCATTTATCCAATTGTTTTTCCAATGGTGTCTTTTCTTCCCCCTTCCCTTTTCCCTACTAAGTTTACCTTCTTCTTCTTCTTCTTTTTTTTTTTCTGAGACAGGGCCTTGTTCTGTTGTCTGAGCTGGAGTGCAGTGGTATAATCATATTAACACTGTTCAAGCCATCTTGCCTCAGCCTCCTGAGTAGCTGGGGCCACAGGCACACACCACCACCTGGCTAATTTCTCTCTCTTTTTTTTTTCAGAGACAAAGGGTTTTGCTATGTGACTCAGACTCATCTCAAACTTCTGGCCTCAAGTGATTCTTACACCTTGAAGGTGCTAAGATTATAGGTGTGAGCCACCATGCTGCCCAGCCTAGTCCCCAAATTCTATCCACTCCTCTGAGTTACTCATCTTAGAATGCTCCCTTGCATATGTCTGATGCACATATCAATAAACTTCTGTTCTTCGAGAAGCTGGGGGAGAAGTAGAGGGAAAAAGATTTTTTTTCTCTCTACTCTACAGTTTCAACACTCTTCATAGTCTGAGGGGCCTAATCACCCATCACTTAAAAAACAGTTGTCTCCAAAATAAATTCTCCCTTTCCCTGTTGCAAGTTAGATATAGTTTGAGAAAGCAATTCACACTCAAGTGTGAGTCACTAGTTGAAATATTTGCAGCAAAGTGTGATTCTCATGGGGAATGGTGGGGGCTTGAATCTAATTGGTGGAATGAATAAGGTTATTTTTGAGTGTGGATGGGCTTTGATAGAGCTGCTAAGTAAACTTTCCTCCTAAAAGAAAGGGATTGGAAATTCTTTCCAGAGAAGTCTGGGGAAAAGTCCTATAGAATTTACCAGTGTCTCAACTAATATAGGCTTAACACAGGTACTAGCTCAGCACAGCTTTCAGAATTTGTATTATAGTCAAGCAACTACCTTATGTTAAGATGAAAAGATAAGCAGTCGCATTTAGCTGTTGGCAGGAGTCAGTTGATTCCAACAGTTTTGTGGGGAATTGACACCTGTTCTGCACTTCCTGTTAAATCTTAGCATCTTTTACCTGAATTACTTTAACTATCAGAATTTCTCTTTGATTCTTTACTGGGTCACAGATCTTGCTTCAAAACTGGTGCTTCTCAACCTAATAAGCTTCTTTAGTTTATTTAGACTCATTCAACTTGGTCTTGGGCTGCCTTTCCAGCCCTGTCTAATAACCACATCCATCCAACCCTCTCTAGTCACAGCAAGCTACTCTATGGATCCTGAACACATATTCCAAATTACAGGATCGTCACAAAATTTTTCATAAGTCCATTCTTTGAGGCATCTGATATATGAAACAAAACACAAGAGTTATAAAATTTGGTATGTTTTTAATGTTTATATTTATTGGGGCTCAGAAAATAATTCCCTCAAATATGCTACTTTAGCATGCTGAGTGCTTTGCAAATTGAAAGGCCTCAGAAATAAGGCTCAGAACCAAGGTGTTTCTCTGACCTGCTTTCCTGTCTCTCTGATCCTCTTTCGTGAACTATTGGAGGGATTCTGGAGTTTCTTTCTCTTATTAATAAAGCTGCTTTCCAAAAGAAATACAATTAAGCCCGAGCACTGTGGCTGACACCTATAATATCAGCACTTGAGAGGCTGAGGCGGGTGGATTGCCTGACTTTAACAGCAGGTTTGAGACCAGCCTGAGCCAGAGCAAGACCCCGTCTCTAAAAATAGCCAGGCATTGTGGTGGGCGCCTGTAGTCCCAGCTACTTGGGAGACTGAGGCAAGAGAATCCCTTAAGCGCAGGAGTTTGAGGTTGCTGTAAGCTATGATGCCACAGCACTCTACTAAGGATGATAAAGTGAGACTGTTTAAAAAAAAAAGAAATGAAATTGTCATAAGACCCCCTCCCTAGGCATCTCATCAAATAACC